GACACTAATAATGTTGTTTAAAAAACACAAACCAGCGGCTGGGCTTGTGGCTCAGCAGTAGAGCACTTACCTAGCAAGTATGTGGCCCTGGGTTGGATCCTTAGCACCATATAAAAATAAATAAATACAGGTATTGTGTCCAACCACAACTAAAAAATAAATATTAAAAAAAAAAAAACCACAAACCAGCCAGGCACCATTGTGAATACCTGTAATACCAACTAGGAGGCTCAGTCAGGAGGATCACAAGTTCAAAGCCAGCCTCAGCAACTTAGCAAGACTCTGTCTCAATAAATAAAAAGGGCTGAGGATGTGACTCRTGGTTAAAGTGCCCAAAAAACAGACACAGACACATTTATGGGTATATGTTTTCAAATCTTCTCCTCAAATCTAATATTCTCACAAGAAAGGAGCGGAAGGGAAAAAGAAAGAAGGAAGAAGTGTTCTTTTTTATTAATCCAGCATAATAGCCATACCAAAAAAAAATCCTAAAAATGTTAGTATAAAAATTCCAAAGTACATAAGCCAAGGGAAGGGTATTCTAGGAGTATTAAGGATGATCTAGTACTAAGAAATCTGGGGAAATATTTCACCATTTATTAAATAAGTCAGCAACTATAAAGACTCTGGGGAGGCAGATATCAGGGATTGAACTCAGGGGTGCTTAACCACTGAGCCACATCCCCAGCCCTTTTTAATTTTTTATTTTGAGATAGGTCCCCACTAAATTGCTTAGGGCCTTGCTAAATTGCTGAGGCTGGCTTTGAACTTGTGATCCTCCTGGCTCAGCCTCTAGAGCCACTGGTATTAGAGGAGTACACTACTGTGCCCAGCTAAGTAAAGATCTATGTTTTTAATTATTTTATTTTATTTATTCTAGTTTGTTATATTTGAAGCAGAATGCAAATCAATTCATATTATACAAATTGGTTATACACAAAGTAGAGTCACACTATTCATGTTTCCATCCATGTACTTAGGGTAATGATGTCCATCTCATTCCACTGTCTCCTATCCCCACACCCCCTGCCTTCCCCTCCCTCCCATTTGCCCTATCTAAAATTCACCTATTCCTCCCATGCTCCACCTCCATCCCCATTTTGAGTCAGTATCCTTATATCAGAGAAGATATTTGGCCTTTGGTTTTTTGGAATTGGCTTACTTCACTTAGCATTATATTCTCCCAACTCCATCCATTTACTTGCAAATGCCATGATTTTATTCTCTTTTTTTAAATATCTATTTTTTAGTTATTTTTTAGGTGAACACAGTATCTTTATTTGTATATGGTGCTGAGGATTGAACCCAGTGCCTCATGCATGCTAGGTAAGCACTTTACCACTTAAGCCACAATCCCAGCCCGATTTTATTCTTTTTTAATGCTGAATAATATTTCATTGTGTATATAATACCACAGGGTATCTAGGGTGGATCCACAATTTAGCTATTGTGAATTGTGCTACTATAAACACTGGTGGCTACTATAAACACTGAGGTGGCTAAGTCCTTCGGGTATAAACTGAGAAGTGGGATAGCTGGGTCAAATGGTGGTTCCATTCCCAGTTTTCCAAGGAATCTCCATACTGCTTTCCAGATTGGTTGCACCAATTTGCAGTACCACCATCAACATAAGAGTGTGCCCTTTTCCCCACAACCTCATCAGTACTTATTGTTGTTTGTATTCTTAATAGCTGCCATTCCGACTGGAGTGAGATAAAATCTTAAGAGTAGTTTTGATTTGCATTTCTCTAATTGCTAGAGATGTTGAACATTTTTCATGTATTTGTTGATTGATTGTGTATCATCTTCTGAGAAGTGTCTTAAAAGAGGCAAATATATTTTATCAATTTAGTTCTTCAATTTCTTCCTGATTAATACAGTTACTTCATTAAAATAAAATAACACACATATCAATGTGTAAGATGTATAAGGATATTTGCTGCAACATTGTTAAATATTTTAAAATCTCAACAGGTACACAAGGTGGAATACTAAATAGCCATGCATCATTTCAGACTATCTACAATACAGGGAAAGTAGAACAAACATCAAAATACAAAACTTGTTCCTGGATATGTGGAATTTTACTAATAAGCACATGTGATTACTTTTAAAATCTAGGGGGAAAAGTGAAGACTCTCATTTTATCCCTATCAGACAAACAATGAGGAAATGTGCAGAGTTTGGGCTAAAAATTAAAATAAATATTAAGAAATAGAAGTAAAAGAAAAAAACCTAAGCAACATTAAACAAAGTATGCACACAAAGGACAGAAAACGGTAACAGCTTAGTTTAAGGATTACAAGAACAGCTGGGCCTATTACTGCTAAACACAATGTACATCCCTAAAACACTCCACTGAAATACTACCAAGAATTTCTAGAGTTTCAGTCTTCAAGAGCTATACAGTCTCTTTCCAATTGACCATTCGCCTTAACTCAAACATCCACCTATAGAAAAGATAAACTATCCTATGCTGCCATCTGCTGAGCAGATTTAATACTAAAAATTTCCACTGAGAATGTTGTATCTTGGCTACTGACAGTACCAAAGTAAAYCATGGAGACAATAAAACTAGAGGTATGTTTACAGAGGGAGAAGAAAGAGACATTGGACCAGAGTGATGATAAGAATGTCATTACAAAATGTCTGAGGTTTTAAAAATCAAGAAACAACCGCATCTGCGAATTATTTAGCATTATGGAGAAAGTCACCAAAAGAATGCAAAATAAAAATATTTAAGTAGTTGACACAAAAGGGACTGGAACTAAAGACAAGCACATCTGCTTTCTAGTGTAAGATCTTACTATTTGAACCTGTGATAAGTTATTTTTTAAGTATGGCACATTTTTTTCAAAATGTAACTATGCCTAAGAATATGAGTTCTTTCTTGGAAGGATGTTTTTTAACTTAGAAGAATCTTAAATGTTTTTAAGACAAGAAATGCATCTAACAATTATAAAACTTAACAATAAGGCAAAATTTCAAGGAAAGAAGATTAAAAGCAATACAAAATTGCTAAGTAGTACACAAAACTTGGCTTATTAAGCATCTCCTGCTACAAGAAATAGTTCACTACTTGTTTATAGAAAAAGTTTACCTTATTATTAGAAACGGCAACAAATTGGGGCTGGGGTTGTGGCTCAGTGGTAGAATGCTTGCCTAGCATGTGTGAGGCACTGGGTTCAATTCTCAGCACCACATAAAAATAAATAAAAGTCCACCAACAATTAATAAAAGAAAAAAAGAAACGGCAACAAATTGCTATTCTGCAGCAGAGTGTTCTGCAAATTTCTATTTAACTAACATTTATTGAGAACTAACTTTATGAATTACTCAATCAGGATTTTCACAAAAATACACATTTTATGTCCTAAAATAAATCATAGTCATCTAAGTAAAGCCTTACCTACTAAGCACCACAACCCTGAATATCTCTAGCCAAATAAGATAAAAGAAAAACCAAGGCTGAGGGTATAACTTGGTTATTGAGCACTTCCATCACATGCATGACACCCTAGATTCAATCAWCAGCAAAGAAAGAGAAAAACTTATTATTGCAGAAATTACAAAATTATAATCTAAGCATTTATTAACTACTAAAGAGACAAGAAACCCAGCATGGTGGCATATAACTGTAATACCAGCCACWCAGGAGGCTGAGGCAAATTTGAGGCTAACCTGGGCAACAGTGAGATCCTAAGTAACTCAGTCAGACCTTATTTCAAAATTAAAAAGGGCTGGGAATGGAGTTCAGTGCCAAAGCACACCTGAGTTCAATCCCCAAAACTGCAAAAATAAACAAGTAAATAAATAATAGACAACATTTGTTACACAAAATTGCTTATTCAGTAGAATCTCAATTTTGTCATAAAGCAACAATAATATTACAATATGCAAGCCACAGCAATAGTCTCATTATTTGTAGTCTAATATTACTATTCTTCTCTATGTTATTTCTTTCTTTCTTTCTTTCTTTCTTTTTTTTTTTTTTTTTTAAGAATTTAACCTTGGGGCTGAGGTTGTGGCTCAGTGGTAGAGCATTCGCCTCACATATGTGCAGCCTTGGGTTCAATCCTCAGCACCACATAAAAATAAATAAATAAAACGAAGGTATTGTGTCCAACTATAATTAAAAAATATTTAAAAAAGAATTTAACCTTTAATTATGTGTTGTCGTTTATTTGTTTTTATGTGGTGCTGAGGATCAAACCTAGGGTCTCATCTGTCCTAGGCAAGTGCTCTACTTCACAACTCCAGCCCTCTCTCTGTTATTTCTATATTGTTAGAATACTTTACTGAAGGTTCATATTACTTTTAAATTTTATAATTACATTCAGATTCATTTCTTGTCATTTTACAACAATTCAAGAGCAATACAAATTACAGTAYATTACCCCCGTACTTGTTTAAATGGGAATTTCTGCTTGAATCTGTGAAGAAAATTTCTTTTCACTAAACATCTTCAGTTATATTTTACACAACCAATATTGCCTCCAAATAGTTGAAACAAAAATCCAAAACAACATAGCTTAGTACCCGACTCTACAACTTCCAGAAAGAAAAGAAAAAAATTATCTTCTTCCTTATCCAATGTGATAACTGAAAATTAATAAGTTAAGAAAATACCAGTCACCAACGTAAGTTTGTTCTTTCATGCATTCTGCATCAAGCTTTCTTATTGAAACATGAAGTGACATTTGTAAAACTACAGACATAGAAAAATAAATACCTATTTGGTACAGTTGAGCAATAAACAAGAAATCATGAACTGTTATATTGTGATTGCAAGTACAATTAACCTAAAATCTTTTAAATAACATTTTGAATTGCATTCTAAGAAACAACATATTAAACATAATGTCCTTTAGCTGTATTCTAAGATAATGCTAAGAAAGCAGTAACATTTAAATTATAACTGTATTATGAATATTATAAATTTATCACACTAAAATTGCCATGTACTTACAAACTAAAGAAAGTAAAAAGAAAAGGCTCACCTTCATCTACAGAAAATTGACAGCTCTTATCGTTGAAAAAAAGTATTTTCTTCTTATCAGGACGATTTACGAACAGTATCTGGTCCCCTAAAGCCTTAAAGATAAAGAAAGATTTTTCAGTAAATTCTACATTACCTTGCACAAAAAAAAAAAAAAAAAAAAAAATGTGTACAAAAAAGAATTCTGGACCCAGTTTCAAACCATCTTTGAGTCTCTTTCTTGAACAGTTTTATTTTTAAGGATTGATATTTTAAAACCTTTTGTTTTTTGAGTCCAAAGAACAAAAAGAAAAAAAATGTTAATGGAATTAAACTTAATTAATTACCATTTTGACCCACTGGACCCTTTTATTAATACAAGATACACTATGGGGTCTTTGTGTACTTACTTTTCCTCTACCTTGAAATAGTTTGCTGCTTACTCATTACTCATTATTACCAATCAATTATTTCTACTTATGTTTTTAAAAAGCATTTTAAAATATGAAAATGGAAGGGTGATTAACTCATCTAGAAGTAGGAGGCAAAGCAGAATAATCATTCTTCTAATGACATTGCCCACATACTACAATTATTTTAAGAAGCTTACTATAAGCCAGGTGTGGTGGCGCACACCTGTATTCCAGCTACCTGGGAGGCTAAGGTAGAGAACCATTTGAGCCCAAGAATTCAAGGCCAACCTAGGTGATATAGGAAGACTGGGTCTCAAAAAATGGAAAAAAAGTAAAAAAGAAAGAAAGAAAGAAATCTCCAAAAGATTGAAATACTGGAAGAAGCTCTGCTGTCTTTTAGCTTTCATTGACCAAATTTAACAATTCAGAACTCTGTATCTCCTATCAGAGGAAAAACAAGAAAACTGACAGAAGATATTTTACTATTATTAGATGAATCAGAATATGAATTCAAAAAGCCAGTTAGCAGCATTCTAGACTGCTATCTAATGAAATTCATCACAGAAATAAAGTCTTATTTATTTATTTATTTATTTATTTATTTATTTATTTATTGGGTACCAATAAGTCTTTATTCATTGATTTTCCCAGGGAGAGGAGAAGGAAGGGAAGAGTCAGCATGTGTGTTATAAAATGATGAGAAAATAGGAAAGGAAGAAAGTATCTGGGTACAGCAAAATCAAATCATAATATAAAACACCCCAATGGTGGGGGTCACCAAAGCCCAAGGGGGCTTAGTCTCCCGTATTTCAGGAATGAGGGGAAGAGATCAGGGAAAGAACAGATAGGTACATACTTTCCCACCCTTGCTCCCTCCCTCCCTC